AGAAAAGAAAATATGGACAGAATTTTGCGTGGCCTTTACGAAACCAAACCCAACCCTGTGCTGTGCCGTGTGTGTGTCTGTCTGTTTGGCTGTGAGGACAGCACAGACCAGTCGCAGATAAGACCAAAAAAGAGCTGCTCTGTTCTCTGTTCAGTTGCACACCTGAAGTTTTCATTCTATCTTCCTTATATTAGTTGCAAATTTATATTCTTAATTCATAAGATTAGATATGTATTGAAATCCTCCATTACTCATGTAGCATGGAGAGAATCAAGTCTTTCAAGTACCGATACACTGACCTCAAATGAATGACACGATGCAGTGACGGAATTAAGAAATTAAATCAGAGAGGGAGTATTTATTAATCACAATATTAAAATTTTTTATAAAAATATTTTACATAAATTTTTATAATTGACTTTTAAAAAGATATATATATATATATATATTTATAACTAGTATATTATGGATAATATAAAAAAAAGTCATAGATATAAATTTTAAATTAAATTATATAATGATAAAGTATTTTTTTATACAAAATTTCAGTAAAAATTCAATATAATAGTCATACTATATTATCATTAACTTATGATATCACCAACCAACAGTAAAGAAACACATAGAGAATGAATTCCACGTGTGAAATATAACTAACAATTCAATAAATTTCATATTTTCATTAAATTTAATTATAATTGTATGTTAAGAATGATGGACATCACCATTGTATTGAAATTTTCATAAATAATAATATAACTTATCGTAATATCTTTATTTTTAATTAAAAAGAATCATTATTATTCTCATAATTTTAAAAATGTCATTGATATTTCAATTTAAATAATATTTTATAATTTTTTTATTTAAATTTTTTCTTTATCTAATCCCATTTATTGCTAAAGGTGGTTCCCTATTTTTCAATAAAGCTGCCTGTTTAGCCCTCAAGGATTAATTTATCATTTGTTTTGGGTAACTAAATTTCAAGCTTTAAGATCTACTTATGAGATTTAAATAGGGCTATAGGTTTGGCATTCTGAGGTTATGTAGAAAGACATGATAGATATTGTAGTGTCGTCTTTAGTTGAAACATAAATGCTCAAATTTTAGTTAGAAATGACATTTTGGATTCGTTTGGGGATGGGTTGGTTTTTTAATTTTTTTAAATTTTTGACTATTTTAATTCGGGATTAAAAAGTTTGATTTGGACAAGATTTTTTGACTTTTTTTAATTTTTTTATAAGAGAAATAATGTAATAATTATAAATTGAACGTGATGTTTTGTTTTATTGAATTAAAAAGTCTGTTTTATTTTTTTTGTTTTTTTACTATTTTGGCCAAAAAAGTCTCAAACCCTCTTTCCCAAACAAGCCCTATAATTTAGATTAATTTTATATTTGAATTCACACTAAATCAATTCGATTTAGGAAAATGATTGGTGGCCCTAAAAAAGTTGCCCCTAATATCTCTAATTTCCAATTTTGGAAACTATTTTTTTTTTTCGACAATGCTACGTAGCTCAAATTTTGTGGCTCAAAAGTGGCTCAAATGGCCAAAACGACGTCGTTTTGAGTACAGAACTGTTGTTCTGTACTCAAAACGACGTCGTTTTGGCCATTTGAGCCACTTTTGAGCCACAAAATTTGAGCTACGTAGCATTGTCGAAAAAAAAAAATAGTTTCCAAAATTGGAAATTAGAGATATTAGGGGCAACTTTTTTAGGGCCACCAATCATTTTCCTAAATCGAATTGATTTAGTGTGAATTCAAATATAAAATTAATCTAAATTATAGGGCTTGTTTGGGAAAGAGGGTTTGAGACTTTTTTGGCCAAAATAGTAAAAAAACAAAAAAAATAAAACAGACTTTTTAATTCAATAAAACAAAACATCACGTTCAATTTATAATTATTACATTATTTCTCTTATAAAAAAATTAAAAAAAGTCAAAAAATCTTGTCCAAATCAAACTTTTTAATCCCGAATTAAAATAGTCAAAAATTTAAAAAAATTAAAAAACCAACCCATCCCCAAACGAATCCAAAATGTCATTTCTAACTAAAATTTGAGCATTTATGTTTCAACTAAAGACGACACTACAATATCTATCATGTCTTTCTACATAACCTCAGAATGCCAAACCTATAGCCCTATTTAAATCTCATAAGTAGATCTTAAAACCTTCTTAAATAGTTATTATTTCAACTCATAAAAAATAAATATATGAATAAATAATTCATACTAATCTGAATTTTTTAATTTTACTCAAAAGTTTAAAGTCACATTTCAAATTGTTCCATTCCATTTAGTCCGCTTTTACTCAACTAACAAATTGTAATGATTTCGGCAATATACATCTTCTTAATACAATTTTCAGAATATTTTATAGACAAACATACTACACTCTTGTAACAATTTAAATCATACATCTTATAAATTTATGTATATATTATTTTTTAAAAAATAATAATAAATTGATTTGTTAATTATATGCCTCAAGATTTTATTGACAAGTATGATTTTAAAATTTTATCATTTACCTTTTACAATAAATAAGATGAAATAATATAACTAGGATAATTGAACCAATATAATTTTTTGGGAAATTTATTTTTCAGTAATGAAAAAATAATTTCATTTTCATAGTGGTACAAGTCTCCTATGTATATGGTGTAAGCCTATTTCTATGCTTGGTGCAAATTTTTTGTGTATCAGAATTGCACTATTTCACTAATTTATAAATTTTTCATGAATAATTTACAAATAAATTTTTAGAAAATGAAGGATTGAAATCATCAAAATAAGATCAATAATGGTTCCGTAGGCCAAACTAGACCTCTGTAATTTAACCCAAGAATGGAGAGAAATTGGTCCCTTCCCTATATTTAAATGAAATGAAATAAAAATAAGGATTGGAGTTTTATGGAACAACAGTCTCTTTCGAGTGAATATGGCAGGTTATTACCCAAATGGAGAACAACAAATGTATTTATGTATTGTTCTCCAACAAAAAAAAAAAAAAAAATGTATTTATGTGGTGACCCTGCAAACCAAGCTACAGCTGCAAGTATTAGTAAAGTAGATGCAGACTTTGCCATGCATAGTCTACAATATATCATATCATATACATAGCCTGTTCCAACCTTCTTAGCCTCTAGTCTCACCACCACTAACCCCCAAATCTTTGACCCAGATTTTATCGGTTTGGCTTTATTCGTAATTTGTACAATATATTATTATTATTAATATTTTCTTGACAAACTTCTTTTAATTAATTTGAGGTAGAGTTACAGAGATTAATCCTTAAATCTAATATTTACAATTATGATTAAAAGCAACATGATGACAAATGAACTTTAAATGTGTCATTTGATAACGTTGTCAATTCAATTTTTTTTTGAAAATAAATAAAAATAAAGGAAATATGTTTGGTGAGACGGTGGTGATAATTGACCGCGAAAAGAAGGAGGATGTGGTGGGGTGGCTGGAGGTGGCTGCTTGAGTGGGTGGCTACAGTGTCACGGTTTCGCTATAGGGCCATTGAAGGTTATGGGTGGTGATCGACTGGGAATTTGTTGGGGATGGCTGGTATTGCTGTAGGTCAGTGAAGGCTGGTGGCAACAATGGGTGGTAGCAGGAGGTTATAGGGGAGGAGAGAGTAAAAACTTACTTTAAAAATAACTAAAAATAGTTTTTCTAGAAATTTTAGCATGAATTCTATTTTTTTGAAAATCGAAAACACAAAATAGAAAAGAAAATGATTATCAAAGGAGGCCATGTTTGATTTTGCAATTCTTTCCAAAAAGAAACCTATCTGTACAGATTTACAGTAATAGTTTCATAGTGAAGCTGTTGTATCGTCTACTCGTTTGATAGGTCACATCTATTTATCCATCTAGCGAAGAAAAATAAGCTGCATCAAATGAGGCAGTCGATATTTGGAACTGTATTTCAATGCTATACATAGGTTTCACTAAGCACACCAAAACATAAAAAATAAAAAATCATACTAATTCATACAGAACTTGTTCATACTTATAGCATTTTTCTCCAATTTCAAAATAAGGATTCCTTTCTTTAAGTTCTCAAACTATCATATTCTTCTCACTTTTGCTCTAAATTCTAACAATAGTTATACTCTTGTAATGGAAATAGAGTAAATTACACATTTACTTTTATACTGTATTTAGTTGGGAGATTTAGGAAAGAATCTGAAAAACGAAAGGAAAAAGATAAGTGAAATGTGAATAAAACATACTTATATTTCACTTAATTTCTCACACTTTTTCTTTTTATTTTTCAAAATATCTCAATCAAACATAACGTTAAAGCATCATCATTTTTCCACTTTAATTGTTAAAGAAAAACTTGTTCCCAACTTGGTTCCTAACCCATCACTTTTCCCTTCTTTCCCATCCTCTTCCCCACTCTATGTACCTTCCTAGCGCACACCCAATTGACCACCCCCTCCTTAATTCACCCCCACGGGCTGGTCAAGTCTCCCTTTCAAACCCACTACTTTCCTCCACACTGGGATTTATAAAATCTTCACAAATGACGCATACATACCTACTATAATTTTTCATTTTAGTCTGTCCGATATAAAATTAAATTTTGAGATTGGATAGATTGATAGTTTTAAAATTAGGTTGGATTTGGATTTACAAATCAATGTAGAACATAATTTTTTTAATAACTAAAGTGGGACCATTAAAGTCAAATCTAACTAAAAATATAATATTTTTTTAATCTTTAGCAATATTTTGTATAGGAATTTAATATAATAAAACTGAAATTTTAAATGTTCAATACAAAAACCCACTAAAAACAAAAAATAATCATTTTTAAGTCAAATATTTTAGATCATAAAAAAAAAAAAAATGCAAACAAAAACAAGGACAAGGGAGCATGCATGACCAAATTACTCACTGACAGTCAGGGAGCTACTGAGAATCATAGAACACATCATCACCAACACATTACTAGTAATCACAGATTCTAAAATAATTAATAACACAAAACTAGTAAATTTTTTTTTTATTTTATTTTTTTAATATGTTTCGTTTTAATTAACAATTATCAAGAACTTGAAAAAGCATTCAAAGAAACTCCATGATGATGATGAGTGGAAATTCTACTAGAACTACAAAACAATGTCTCCCAAATATCAGCAAAAGCCTCGACAATTACCCTGTGATGATGACGCGAATTCAGCGACAAAAAACACTGCAACAGCTGCTCCAAATCTCTCTCCTCAAACATCTGCTTCTCTAATATCATCTCCATCATCGATCTCTTGAAATCCTTATATGGGTCCTCCGATTTCTTTACCACCGCGAAGCTCTCCTTCACTTTCCCCTCCACCGCACACGACGGTATCAGCTTATTCAACACCGACAACCTCGCCGGCGACTCAATCTCCGGCCACCACATCTTCCCTCCTTGCGAAACGCTGCGTTTTGCTCTCTTCAACTTCTTCTTGTGATTTCGTGAAATGGGTGTCTCGCGAGACGAGTCAATTGAGAAGCTTCTAGAAGATGATACTAGTGTTTCGGTCTCTTCTTCTTCGTGTCTCTCGTCGCTAAACAGTCCACTCTTGGCCGACGAAGTACTGATACGGTGTTGTGTTGTCGGTTTCTTTTTTTTGCTCCGCCGTTTCTTTTTTGCCGCCATGTGCGGCGGAGGGAAGAGGTCGTTGTCGGAATCGCCGGAGAGGGAGGAGTTGTAGATTTTGTGACGCGGCGTGTCGTCGCGGACCTTGGCGATGACGTGCCACTTGTCTTCTTTCTGCCACTCGAATTCCGGTGATTCGGTGAGGCCGTCTTCTGAGGTGTACTGCGTGCCGAACCCACAGCCGGCGGATGTGAAGGTGGAGGACACGTGGCGCTTGAAGGAGGAGCGGTGGGATTTGAAAGGGGGTGGGGTCGCTGGCGGGAAGTCAACCAGGATGGGGTTTAGGGAGAGTCGGAGGAATGAAGCGACAGGATTTTCTGGTAGGTTGGAAGGGTCTTTGGAGCAATAGAATTGGAAGGATGAGATGACTCGGGAGAACCAAAGCTTGAAAGCTTTCGCCCTTTGTTTTGTCTGTCTTTGTTGTCTGAGAAAAGTAGTTGCTTATATAGCAAATGGAGCTAACGACAAAATTCTTTTTAATTGTTTTGAAGGTTTTTAGTTACCTTCATTAAGGGCAATAAATATGTTTGGTTGGTGTTACGGTGGGGAATAGTTTAGCTCATGTTTTGTTTTTTATTTTTTGTTTTTTTGATTTTTTAGTTTAGTTCATGTTTATTTATTTATTTTTGTTATGTGGTTTAGTGTTCGTTTCTAATAACATTGAATTTGAGAGAATTATTTGGCTCCATAGGATTCATTTTGTAGAGCATTTTGTGTATATAATCAATAAAAAATTAAGTCAATCTAATAATTGTAATATTTTCATTTTATTTTTTTAAAAAGAAAAATAAATAGTTTAGATCATTAAAACAAAGTCTGTTATGAATCCTATAAGCTTGAATAATTTTTCAAATTTAAATTTGAGAGAATCTTAAACTTATCAAATGAAATGAGAGAGCCATTTTGATACACCGATGTCAAAAAAAACAAATTTAGAGTAAGGCTCCTAATAGGCCTTAGAAATAATAAAAATAATTTTAAAATGGACAAATAATAATAAAGTTTCTTTTTTTTGGCTCACAAGGTGTCCGATTTGGCCACAACTAATCTTAGGGCAAATATTATCCTCTCAATGCGTATATATCATCATATAATTATCACATCAAAATCATTGTAGTGATATTGAGAGATAATAAAAAAATAAAAACTTTAACTATTGATCTATATTTGAAAATTTTAATTTATACTTTTCATATAAAGCTCATAAATCCTGTCACATTAAAATTTTAAAAATTACTTGAAAATTAATTTCAAATGAAGCACAAGTAGAGGTAATGGAATTTCTAAGTCCATCCATTTGTACAATATTTAAATTAGCTTCGACGATTTTAATTTTACTAAAAAATAAATCAACTTAATCATGTTAAACTTATAACATTTATTGTATATATATTTTAAATCTCAGAAGTAATCAATGTAATTTACATTCTATTTATATTTGATTTTAAAGTAATTCTCACAATTATTTAGAACTTAAATTTTATAGTTTAAAAATTAAAAAATTATTATAAATTATCACATTATTCATATTAAAGTTTTAGATATCTTCTTATAAAAATAAAAAAATCAATTAAAACAGGTATGAGATCTAAATTTGGTGATAGAAATTTGTCGATAAAGTATGATTTGCACAAATCATAAATGTAGAGCGTGAGTCTGTGTTAATGCCAGCCAAGCAAAACACTGACTTCTGTACCATACGATTCGACCCCGAATTCTTTTCCTTCTCTCTCAAATGAAAAATTATTCAGTGTAGTTTGAGTTTTTTAAATTGAGTTTTTTAAAAATTAAATTTTTTAATTTTCGTATTCTTTTGTTTTTAGTGAATATTTTTTAAATTTTAAATATATTTTTTTATTTTTTTAGATGTATTTTAGTTAAATGTATCTAAAAAATAAAAAAAATTATAAAAAAAATATTTTAAAAAATTAATAAATACATAAAA